GGGTGGCACTGGGTGAGCTCTGGGGGGCCCTGCCAGCCCCCGCCATTCTGTGATTCTGTGAACTGCTCCGGGAGAGCAGATTAGGGAGCAGATCCGATGCCAATCCTTGCAGTGAAGAGCAACGAAGGAGGCTTTTGGGGGGGGCTGAGGTGGGTAATTCCCGTGCCTATTACACAGCAATAAAACCGGAGAGACCCCAGCATGGGACAAACGGAAAAAGGAGGATTGGGCAAAGGTCCCCCCAGATCAAAATAACGATATGTAATTGTGAGATCCACGCCGTCGGGCTCATCCAAGAGCGCACGCCGGGAGCGGTGACTCCCCAGCAGATTTCGGATGCACCGAAGAGCCTGGAGGAGCCGGCGATGAGGGAAATCATCGTCTGCCCGGCCCCTGACCCCAACGGCCGGTACGGACCCAAGGCTTTGCCCTTCGCGTGGGACCAGAAGCTACGTACGGGGAGAGCGCTGTGCGAACCAAGGTGAGACGGGGGAATGGGCAGCCCCGGGGGATGAGCCCTTGGCACCCTGGGCACTGTGTAGACCTACCAAAGCACCCGCTGTATGGGGTTTGGTGGAAAACCAAAGGCAATGAGGGAAGGAAAGCTGGGCTGGGCCACCAAATGTCACCAAGCCCCACCAAGGGATGGCGTGGCCACCACCGGAGTGCGGCAGCACGGTTTGGGAAGAAACCCTTGAATCTGGGGGCCTCCTGTTAAGGAACGAGATCTTCCAAGGATCTTCCAGCCGGTCCATGAAATATTCCTCCTTCCCCGAAACGCCCCCGACACGTTTTAGTTCTCGTACGAACACTTGTTTTTAATTAAAAAAAAAATCAAAAGCAATGCTTTCTTTTTCCCAAACCCTTGAAATCTGAATTTCTGCGCGTACCTAAGCTCGAAATAACCGACTCACGCCGCTCACCCCACGCCTGTGACCACCCTCAAGGGCCTCGGCCCCGCACCCCAAGAGCTGATGCCCACGGGGATCTGAAGGAACAGGCTGACCCCATCCAATGCTCATCGGATGGACTTCTACTTTCTAGCACTATAATCACTACGAAAATCCCGCTTATTGGACTCCAAAAGATTATCTCTGACAGAAAATGACGGAGAACGGGTCAGGGGGCTGGATGATGAGTGGATATTTCTAATTTCTTTTTTCTTTGGGGAAAATAAAAGACCTACAGCCAGTGTTACAGATGCGCAGCCATTGCAGCCCAAAAGGAAGGGTTCCCCGGTGAGGCAGGACCCCACAACCACTGCAGAGGAGGATTGGCCAAGCTGGAGAGGTGGGGCCTGTGTGAGCCTCATGAGGTTCAACAAGGCCAAGTGCAAGGTCCTGCCCCTGGGTCGGGGTAACCCCC